GAGAAGATGTTTAATATCACTCAAGACAAATAGAAAAGAGGACTTGAGAACAAAGAAAATACTAAAGACAATATCAGTTTAGAAGAGGGTAATCTACAACTTCTAATATGCTTTTGTCTTATCAAGAAAAAGGAGTAATCCACTCTTAATCAAGATTAGACAAAGCTCTGATATTATAAGTGTATTCTTGTCAATTTGTCAAGGACAAGAACATGATATAAAAAAATAAACAAGTGAAACTTCTCTCAAAGAAAGATGACACAATAGAAATAACTTGATATGTATATTAAAAAAGAAACTAGAATGGCTATTGCCAAAAGCCAAGAAAACTAGAGACCCTTGAAACTACATTGGAAGCAAGAAAGGAGTTGATATGAGTGAAGAAGGCTTCATTCTTGTCTCTATATATACTATCTAACTAGAGGCTACGTGGCAATGTTCTATAGGACCTCTAATATGTGTTGACTTTGTAGGACACATGCCTTGACTTACAAGGCAAGTTTTTCTATGTATGGGCCACATAGTTAGCTTGGTCTTCAAGCTAACAACATGTGTGGCACATGGCCAACTTATTGACCATGTTTTTAATCCAAAAAGTCAATTAAAGATACCTACAAAGTCAAAGCAACGTCTATGAAGCTTCTAGGAAGCTTCAATAGCAAATATTATAGAATTAATTTATTTTTACCTACTTTAACTTACTTCTATATATCTATACTTGTAATTACTAGCTTACATGCATATGTCCGTGACATCTATACAACAAGTAACTTAAATCATTTAGGTCCATTAAATAAATATACTTGATTTGTACAACAAGCGACTCAAATTTTTCCTATCTAGTAAATCAAAGCACCTAATTTATACAATGAATAATTTGTATTATTTCAAATTTTACAACTAATAATAATTTCAAAATTAGAAAGCTTTAATATATTATTATTATTATTATTTTAATATAAAAATATATTTAAAGATTTTTTAATTTTAGAAATAAAATAAAAAAATGCATCAAATTCTATGTATCTAAATGGAATCATTACAAATCAACTTCTAAAATAATCAATAGAAAAAATAAACATATAAATTCAATATTTATTCTATAAATAGTATAAAATTTATTTTTATTTTTACTTTTATTTTTTTCATTCTTGTTAAATTAAATACTCTATTGCCCAAGGGTTATGAGTATTATCTTAAAAAATATAGTTTAGAAGTAAAAATAATCAAGAGATAGTCTAAGAATTATTGTATAGTAATACGATTATATGGTGGGAAATAAAAATATGAATGTTATTATAGAAGAGCCTAGTAGAAAGATGTAGTAAAAAAATAATAATAAATTATAGAAAGGTATTAAAAATTTTAGTCTTAATATTATTTTTTTATAGAAAGAACTTCTATTTACATTGTAAAAGCATAAATGAGCCAAATTAAAATAAATGAGATAAGAAAGTAATATGGACAAGTTTAAGAAAGACTTAACAATAGGCTACAACTAAAATTACCTCAAATTAATAAAAATTGATACCTAGAGAGGACCAATTTTCAACTTGAATCAAAATCAAATCCTGAGGTACAAGACTACATACCACTTTAGAAATCTTTTGCAAATTTGATAGTAAAATTTGAAAGCAGATTTGAGAAAAAAATTTGAGTGTTGGTTTCATATCATTTGGATTAATATTAAGATTTTGAAGGATTTTAAATTTTAAAAAATAAAAATAGATTTACAAATTTCAGGATTTTGTGAGTTTTGTAGTATATATGTAAGTAAAAATTGAAAAAGTTGTTGTTGTGATTGTTATGAATGTGAGAAATTTGAAATCAATTGAGCAGTTAGATTGAAATATTTGAGGGTTTTTATGGATTATGGTCTCAGATAATTGAGATTTAAGATTAGTGAGGAATTTTGCAATCTTATAATATTTTTTAGTTTGATTGAAAAAAAAATTTGGCAAGAGAAATTTAAATTTGATTATCTATATATAATCCAAATTGTAGAGCAATTGAATGGTTTAATAAGAAAAAATCTTTGTTAAAAGATCAATATTCAAGTAACAAAAAGAAGACGGCCAAAAACCAAAAGTTTTTGAGAGCTTTTCTTGCAAATGGTATATGCAATCTTTTTCAATCTTTTTATGCTTGTTGCTTACCTAATTGTTGCAAGGTGTAAAATTTTTGAGTCAAAATCAATAATTTAATCATTAATTATCAAATTTTTAAATTAATAATGGATTATTAAGAATTGTTTAAGATTTAGGATTTGATTAAAATTTGGTTAAGATTGATTTAGAATCTTGGATTTGTTTAGGATTTAGTAATTTTTTGGATTTGATTAAGATTTAGCAAAATTTTGATTAGGAATTGAATATGATTTTATTAAGATTTGACTAGAATTTGATTAGGATTTGATTAAGATTTGTTTAAGGTTTGATTAGAATTTCACTAGGATTTTATTAGTATTTGACCTAGAATTTTCTTAAAATTTATTAAGATTTTAATTATGATTTAACTTAAGATTTGATTTAAGATTTGATTAAAATTGGTTTAAGATTTTATTAGGATTTCTTGGTGGTTATATTAGGATTTAATTAGGATTCTATTAAGATATCTATTTTTGATATTTCTTTAATATTTTTATATTATATATAATTTATTAAGATTAATTTAATATTTTTTATGTTTTTTTTTTTTATAATTCTTAAAAATTCTTTTAGATTTAATTAAAGATTGATCAACATTATTATAATTTAATTTGAGTTTATTTAGGATTCTATTAAAGTTGTTAGGATCATCTTATTACAAGTTTCTTTTTTTTCTTCCATAGCTAGGTATCTAATACATTCTCAAGCAGACTTCATATAATACAACAATGTAAAAATAACCTAGCTAAAATTCTAAATCTTAAAAATAATATAATATAGAAAGGTTGAATGTAATTATTGCCACTACTTGACTTAAAATCTAAAACTTTTTAGTTGTGAAGTACCATCGTATTGATACAAGAAGCCTCTTTGTGTTAAGCTACTTGCTTTAAAAGTAAAAAAAATCTATGTAGATTATAATTTTCTTTTCTAGATTCAACTTATATTGATGATAATTCATTCAAAGATATTTTAGATAAGTTGAGGCTAAGAGTTTATTTGCAAAAACTTCCAATTGAGAGATTAATGATTCCTATTCTATAATCAACCCTTATCCAAAACATAAAAACAAGCTTCAAAAATAAAAAGTTTTTTTTTTCTTTTTTTTTTCTTTTTTTTAAATTCCTTAAATTATAATAGAATCTCAAGAATATTATTTTGTTTATTTATTTACTATCAATAAACTAACTTACTTATTATCCATTGCCGAGATAGAGCGAATTTATCTTAAGAAAGCGCTTGACTTTTAATTATCACTAATTGCTCAATCAAACCTCTAGATAAAAAAAAAAAACACTAAGTCTATATATAATATTGTCCCTATATAGGCAATTACATCATAACATCAGCCCTAAGTACCAAAGATCACCAAAAATGTCATAAAAATATTATTTAACTTTGTATATCCTTAAGGTGAATTTTTTCCGAACTTCAATAGCTCATAACTCATGATTGGATTGTCCAAAAAAACCAAAATTTTACATGAAGTATCTATGTACTTTTAAAAACTATTGCAACAAATTTCAATTACAAGTCTATCACGGATCTTGAGATATTGCCAAAATCCTAACAGTAGCTTTAAATCCTTGCTTACATACACCTATGTCCAATTTTCTTCATATCTCACAAACTAAGTATTAAAATACTATAAATCTTTGATATACAGCTTCTTAACCTAATAACACAAACTTCTAGAAATTTTGAGCCAAAAATTCATTTGGAAACTCAAGATATGGCTCCAACCATTACTATCAACAAAATGACTCACTTACTACCTTTGAATTACATATGTTGTCTTCAACGCTCTATAACTTCTTCATACAAACTCCAAATATAGAAATTCTTTCACAAAAGATGTATATCTTGAAATCACCCTTGTGGCCGCTACTCCCAATCTCCAAAATCTATCATAAAATTCCTTCTATCTTCTAAAGAGCAATAATATATATTAAAAATACACCTTAACTTCAAACGGCTATGATTTCATCACCCTAACTCCAAATCCTCTAAAATTAGTATATAAACTGTAGTCCAAATCCTAAACTTTACAACTCTTGCTTTTGATTCTTAAATGCTTCTTCTAAAGTCATCAAAATCCTTGTTATGGTCGCAGACAGTCTCTTAAATGCCTATTAGATATGGCCTTTGACCAATAGGAATGAAAATCTTTCCTTTTAGCCTTCATCCATCCATACATTACTTTCATCCCTCCAAATAAGCTTCTTAGAGGTTTGAATCTTCATTTTTGAGCCCCAATCTTCTCCTTAAATTTTATACTAAATATCTAAATCCTATATATTTTAAACACTATAATCAATATAGATAAACCTCAAAATAAATTTTCTTACATCAACTCTCTTTATATCAACCTACTAACCATTTTAAAATACATCAATACTTATAAATATATTATCTACTTTAGTTAATTTTTAAATACTATAAAAAATTACAATATGACACCATTATGAAATTATATTTACCACTAAAAATCTATACTTCTTCTTTATCAACAAACCAACTTCTTCTTTATCTTCATTCAAGTTACATTTTCCACTAATTTTTTTTTAATGCTTCTATTGCAATCATTTTATGATCTAAATTTTTCAAATTTTCAAACAATTATTCTAACACAACAAGTGGTGCTTTGTTGTTTTTGTTAGTTGTTAGTTTTCTTTTCATGAGTTACATAACTTTTAGAGTTTAAAGGGCTACCTCAGACTCAGCAAGTAATAAGCTCATATTAGGGTTGGTTTTTATTTTATTTTATTGTAGCAACATTCTCATTCATCAACAGTCGTTCTGAACAGCATGACGACAAACAAGCCACATTTTCTAAGAGTGGGTACGCTTCAAACTTGCATACAATTGGAACTGGGTTGTGTGGTTCTCTTGTTTAGGAACTGCTTTGCACTAATCTCTTCCATGCTGCTCTTTGAAAATAAGGTTGAAATATTTCTTAACTCGAAATCTTTCGTTGTGTCGAATTGTGCTGTCTAGTGTCTTCACCACCTCAGGTTCTGATTCGGAGATGATAGCCGGGCCAACTTTTTGTGGGAGGGGATAATCTCACGAAAGCCTCATCAGGAAGGGATCCGTGAAGCTCACCATCCTTGGACTGTCGTGGAGTTCGTCGTCACAAGTCAATTTGATGAGCACAATTCAACTACACCATATTGGGAGTGGAGGTTAGATTGCACTTTGTTGGAGTTTTTGGAAGCTGTTCTGAGATACCCACAGGACTGGTCGTTGGATGAAGTGCTTGTGAATTCACCGCATGCCCTTTCGAACACCTTGGTTATGCGACATGAGTTTAGTGTGTTGTTTGCTTTTCCTTCCGCTTTTGTCCTGCTCCGCTCTAGGATTGGTTGTTTTAATTAATGAGGGGAAAGCGATAGGGCAGTGTTCTTGATGCCTCTTTGATCCGTCTCATCATCCTAATTTTACAAACAACTGCTGGGATCCCTTTTCAACGGCAGCTTGAAATGATCCTGCCGGGAGCTGTGAGGACTCGCCACGTCCTATATTTTTGTTTTCATATATCATGCTTTCATTAACCAAAAGGTTTTATTCAATCCTTTAGCATCTTTTTCGTCACTGTTTGGCATGCTTTACTGCCCAAATTCGTGGATACATCGAGACCATGGATACCTCTCTTCCGATGTCTTTGATAATTACCATTAACTCGTAACGGTTGTGCTTTCTGCGCGCTTGGACTTTGTTCTATGCTGTTGAGCACCTGATTCAACTGATCGATGCTAAATTCACAATGCTGTCTCTACTTCACCCTGAAGAGGAAGACGGTCTGGAAAGAGGCTTCTATTCGACAACCTTCAGAAGAAAGCTGACTTGTTCTTCTTGATTAGGTAACCTTTTTATCTCTGAAGAAACTTACTGAGACCTTTGGAGCTTTACACACCATTATTCCTTATTTTGCATCCAATGTGCTCATAAAGTGTAATTTATTGTATCGGTAGAGAAGTGTAAGCAGTGTAGTATGTTTCTAGGTTGTGACCGACCTTATCGAGTAACACATGAAATTCATCGCTTCTGAGAATGCATTGCAATGTGGTTCCGATGCTACTGAGCTTCCTTCACTGAATTTGCTCCCTTTTGTGTCTGCGACTCTCATGCAATGTGTTCCCGGTAAGTCTATCATGCTCTGTAGTGTACTCTCTTATTCATCTCACCTTTTTACAAAAACAGGAATGAAAATGACTAGTTCAGTGGACCCATTTCCTGAATCTCTAAAATTTCAGTTGCCTAATGTTAGATTACAGCCATTTTTCTGGTTACCAGTAGGACATGGAATGCGAGCTCACTGTGGTCAGGCTATGGGGTTTGTCCTCCTCATGCTTCTACATTCTTTGAAACTGTTCTGAAATGGTTTTTGTCAAAGGATCTCTGATCACCATCTCGGAGTAAGAAATTGGAGCTCACCGCACTTTAGAGGTGGAACCAAATCTTGGCTAGTGGCCAACCATGTTACAACGGTTTGGGTGACAAAGTTGTGGATGAAAGCAGAAGGTCAATACTTTGTCTTGCTGTTATTAAGAAACTGGCCTCAGGTTTGACACCTTGTAGTAATTCAGTGTCTAGAGTGCGTTGGATTATGGGGTAAGGCTTCGATCATGCTGAGATGGACGGGTTAGAAGTGTGAAACTTCACAGCCTATGATGGAAGTTTCAGAGATTCATGCAGGGAGAGTACTTTATTCCATGTGCTTGTTGTGTTTCTATCCAGATGACGTGTCCAAGGATCCTTTCAAGCAAAAGTTTGGACCTTATGACTAAATAAGTGAATGAACCCATGTGATTCTCTGTTGAGGGAAAAGGACGCCCTATTTGATCCATTTCCCAGTGACTTGTGTACATTCTTTTTTTCTAAAAAGGTATATTAAGTGAAGAAATGTTAAAAACAAAAGGACACTCTTTGAAATTGTCCTTTTGTTTTTATTTTGTATTTAGTAATTTTGTGTTGGTCTTTTGATATCATTTATGGTCATCTTGTTTGAGTATCTTTTATATTCTCAAATTTAAAGATGATATTGTGAATTAGGTCATGTGAAGTTAAAATGCTTATCTTCATATTGTTGTAATGGTATAATTAAATCCTGGCTATTATTATATGGTATGCATATGTAGATTTATTATCAGATTAACATCTTGTTTCTTTGTTTGTTGTTTCATACAATATATAATTTTAATAAGTCAATATTTTTAATTAATATCTTTATTGTTAGATTTAAGATCTTAATTATTTTCAAGGTTTAATGATGGTATAATTTTGATGTATAATGTTATTTTGTTTGGTGGTATTATTGTTTTATTATTTATGTTCTACAATAATTCTATGGTTGCAACAAATACAATCCTCTGTATGCTTTCAAATTTTTATATAATGTTTTTGAAAACTTCTGCAAACATTTCAAAAGAGTTTATTTTTAAAGACTTGGTAATCATTTTTAATAGAATATTTTTTCTTATAATATTATGCAACAAATTGCTAAAATTTTAGACGACCATCTTTTTAGGCTTGTAACTAATGTAAGACCACTACTAATCTCAAACTTTAATTTTGTATCTTTTTATATTATAGTTGATAATTTTTTTTTAATATATCTTCACAATTTGCTACTTTATTGTGTTTTACAATGATTTATTCTTGTTACTACTTCTTAATTTTATTAGCAGAAATTAACCTTTTATGTTGACTACTCTAAATCATATGTTAAATAATTTCACAATAATAAGTATGATAGTTTTAAAAAACCAACTCTCAAATAAAACAATTATTTCTATAATTATACAATTAGATAAATAAATATTTATCTAAACAATTAAAGTATATTAAATGATTACAGATTATGTGCCTCAAAATTATTGATTGTGTTTAAAAACTTTGAATATATTTAGCAATTTTTTTATATCTATGAATTAAAAATTAACATATTAGAGATTTAAGAGCTAGGAACGAAGTTAGGAGAAATTTTTTTTAAAAAATCTAATTCTATGTTGACACATATAACTACTATTGTTCTTTGTGAAAACAAGAATATTGAATAAGAAGTTTTAAAACTTACGACAACTTGCATATATATATATATGCTTTACAACAAGATATCTTAGATACAAAATTTTGTAATTAATAAACCATAGATTTGTCTTTTAATTTTATTCAATAGAATAATGTTTTATTGTAATATATATATATATATATATATATATATATATTTAGTTAGATCAAATTTATTATTAAAATTTTACTATGGGGTTATTTAATTTATGCATTGTATGGTATGTGCACAGGATTTTTATTTATTATTATTTTTTTAATTTTAGTTATTCTTGGAGTACATAAATAAACTTTAAATAATGAAGATAGATTTAAAATAATAATAATAAAAAAAACTCTTGTTATGTTTGTAAAAAATATAGTTCAATTTGTGCAATTATAAATGATATTTATAACATTTCACAGTAAAATATACTTCAAATTTACACAAAGAATCGAAATTTTTCATTTTATTCACATTGAATATAGAAAATAGTAAGAAGAGAATATCATCAATTTCTAAAAACCTGTTCTTTCAAAAACAATCTCTCAACACCAACACTATAATTTATGACTTGATTGACCACGATTATACAGCAATTTAAGTGCTCGCAACCTATACTTGAACAAAACTATATACAAAAAGACATATATATATATATATATATATACACACACACACATTCATTGTCAGCCTTACAATTACACAGCTAGTATTGCAACAAAAATAAATAAAATGCAAATTTCTACATAGACCTATTTACAACCACTCAGTAGATTCCAGCTGAAAACTCAAGACTGCAGAGTCAGCTTCGTATGCATTTTCTTGAAACTCCATGTCTTCACTGGAAAAATGGCAACTTGTCAGATTCCTCCAGCATGAGCGTGATCTCATCTTTGCATCTGAAGCCGTTGTGTAGAATTAGTCTGACACCAATCAGAATCCTTGAAAGAATTCCTGAAACTCATTGCTTCAACTGCACTGTTCCTGACTTTTCTTTTCAGTTGTAATGCAAAATTTGTTTCCAGATTATTGGCATAGAATGAGCAATGGAAATGCCATGCTCTTGAGTGAGGTACCAGAGATGTCGCGGTTTTACTTGAGAACCTAGATCAAGAGTTCTTCATTGCGTAAGTGGCCTCCACAAAACTCAAGCCTCTTGAACATCAAAAAACACACCTCTGCAGCATGATATAGTACATTCGTGGTCTTTTAGGATCTAAATATTGCTGCAGTGGACGATTTGCAAATACCGGTAGTGTAAATGGTAGATAACTAGGCTGGAAGAGGGGTATCTCCTTCATTTGTTCATTACAAACATGTCACTTGATCTCCATCTGCGAATGACTAACTAACAACTAAGTAGCAACTCTGAAGCAACAAAATTGCGGTGAATTGTGAGAAAGGTCTCGAATCCATCATTTTGGAAGATTGATGGATTCGATCGCATTAAGTTTCGGGAATTTGCCAGTGGGTTTAGTACATTCTTATCTCTGCTGCCAGGCGCCGTCGTTCCATAAAGTCCTCAACATCATGCCATTGCATTTGAAAGTCTGGTTTCCTTGGAAATCACCAACAACGGATTTTTGAAGCAACTTGTTTTCATCTTCAACCTCATCCGGTATATCTACTTGAGGTAAGTTGTGGCGCCATTCCAACAGCATATTTAGAACTACATTGTATAGAGTTTCTGGCATATGCAGCAATCTATGAGTTCAAGTTGTGTCATTCCACTACAAGTGAGAGTAACGAAGCATACCCACTGAACAAGCTTGATTATAACTAAACAATGAAATTGCATGTCATAATTATATCGAAGTCAATGAAAACTAAGTTGTGGAACCTCCTTGCACGAATCTTAATTCAAGAATGAATTGATGTGGATCTGTAGAGCATCTATCCTTCTAGTTACGGCATTTCACATGAATGGGTCTGTAGTTCTCGCCCCTGCAACGAAGACCTTGTAGGAAATACTGCATGCTTCCGAAAGTGATGAAAACTTTAGCAAACCCAATGCGCCAATGCCGCTGGAGACATCCTGACTCTTTATATTGGTGAGCAGAGAATGAATTCGTGTGAGAGAAAAGTGAAAAATGCACGTAACTCACTTTCCAGAAAACTCCATGACAAGGAGTAGATGCATTTGTCAAGAAGTGTATGATTGTAGGAAATGCCGTTGCGCAATCTGCCAAGAGGATTGAAATATTACGTGCTCCAGATGGATGGAAGAATTTTACTCCAGTGGGCAATAATGTACTTTTCGAAAGATGTAGCGAGGTCGCTACAGAACGAGATTGTTTATATTACGTATATGATATATCACAACATTCTACATCAAATAGTGAGAAAACACCCGAAATCCCAAGGGATGTTATGTGCCACATGCAAACATTGCACCATTGAAGCATACCACGTTTGCCTTCGTCGGATTGATACATGTCTAGCCGTCAACAGGCCCGGAAAGAGACCATGTCGAACTATAAACTTCGGATGAGTTTCTCCACCATTTTGTACTTGTTTTCTGAAGGCTACCCCCTAATTCCCACCAGGATGAATGTCAGAATGGGATGCTAAGATAGATGCCGTTTTCCCTTAAAAGTTGCTAGACTCTTTCAAAACTTGAGGATTATAACAGATCCCATTGGAACCAGTAGTTGAAGGATCTAATTTCAACTATGTGAACAAAAATGTTACTCTGAGCACAGAACCATGTGTGAATATTTCTCAACGAAAACCTTGTCGCAACTTTAAACAGTTCGAGAATGAGGATTCAATACTGCATAGTTTAAGCATATTGAAGTGAACCAAACGAAAATGACCCCATTCTTCTCACGCCTTCCTGGTGGTCGTGAAGTTGAGCAACTGGAATCAACATGGACCCAGCAACGAAGGAGAAAAAGCCAATGCACACACAGCTTGAAAGTCAGTAGAAATTCTCACACAAAAAGATGTAAATGGTGCACCCTACCCCCAACATCTTGTCTATAATGTTTTGCATTCATTAGAAATAGTAAGGTCTGTTTCTCATGCTCCAAATACAAAATCACCCTATTTTCTATGGAAATGCTTGAGGGTGAAGAAAGTGAGGAAAATAGACCATTCCACAAATATCCTTGAAGTAAACTCAGAACCTACACAAGGCATAAAATCATGTCTACCGATCACCGCTTAATTGCAAGTCGATTTGAGCTCCACTGGAACTTAGTGGTGATGTAGTTCCACAACTTGAACACTTCGCCCTATGTGCTTACTTTTCTTCACCAATTCAAGCTTCCCTCAAAAACTATGCTCTTTCAAAACTCTGCAACCCATTCAAAGAAAGATTGTAAAGAAAAATAAACCTGAAGTGCTGGTCTGGAGGAATTTTTCAAGTTGCTGAATAAGTAGAGTGTGTAGTCAACAAGAGGTAGAAAGGTAATCATTGTTGTGAAAATGCTAGGCTAAGTGCAAAATCGTATGTATCTACATTCGAAAATAATGTTTGATTAAATTTTCATTTAATGATACTGGTGGTGCTCAGGTAAAAGGATCTTTTAACAAGTTAAAAACTTTGTTGACTTTATTTTTTTAATTTGATTTGATTTGACTTTATTGTTTTATTGTTTATTATTTTACCAATTTTATTGTAATAAAGTTGTAATTTTTGAATATTTTATTTATTTTTGTACCATCAAATTTATAAGAAAATTAAGATCATTTTTGTTCCTATGCACATTAAGAAATAATCTAAATAAATAACTAAAATATTAATCAGAATAATTTTAAAAGAAATCATTTATTATACATTAAAAAATTGCAAAGATAATTGTTAATCTAAATGACATATC